CCCCCACCCCGAGACCCCCGTACCCCCTGCAGCAAGCACCCCCTCATCTGAGGAGAGCCTGCTCTGGCACAGTGGGTGGTCAGGCCCCTGCTCCTCTGTGCTCCCCGCAGGAGGCCCAATGGCGACCCCCCACCCTGCTCGGTGCAGGGGCCCTACTGCGTGGATGAGAACACGGAGCGAAGAAACCACTACCTGGACCTCGCCGGGATCGAGAACTACACGTCCAAATTCGGCCCCGGTAGGTACTGGAGGCCACCGCAGGCACAAGGCCCGGGGCAGCTCTGGAGCTCCTGCAGCGTTGAGCCCCAGAGGGCACCCCGGCACCCTCGTCATTCACATGCCCAGAGGTGGACCCGGGTCTCGCCCCCGTTGCCGGTGCCTCCCGAAAGCAAGGTGGCCCCGTCTAGGCGTGTGTGCATGGGGTGTGCCTGCCCCGGGTGAGAAATGGCATTTTTGGAGGGGCTCGCCCGCCCGCTTGTTCAGATGAGGCTCTGTCCTGTAGTGTGTCGGGCATGGCCAGCCCAGCGCCTGCAGCCCAACCCCACCCCCAAAGCCCGGCCCATGCCCCAGGGGCTGGGCCAAGTCCCCTCTTCACCCCCCTTTAGCAGTCCCTGAGGGGCAGGAGAGGTCAGCCTGAGCAATTCAAACGTTTAAAAAATATCTGAAAGAAGCTCTTTCCAGTCTGGACCAAAGGCTTGGGGCAAAGGGCACAGGTGGCTAAACTGTCCCTTCAGCTGGACGCAGCTGATTGCCATCACCAGCGGGCTGGGTGGGCTGCCTGGAGACCTGCCTCCTCAGTCTTGCTCTGCACCGGGTGGCTCCGGAGGGCTTCACTCATTTGGTGGAGATGGCAGCCGGGTCCTCCTGGAAGACTGTCATACAGGAGGCATTCGGGGAAGCGGGTTCGGGCCGCCTTCTTGGAGCATTTCCTGATGTAAGGCAGCTTTCCGCCCCAGGTCCGGGCAGGGTTTGGGCTGTGCCAGGAGAGAAGCTCCATTCACAGCACCCCCAGTGGGGACCTGGGGGGGTCTGACTTCCAGGGGAGCCAGGCAGGGCCGGGCTGAAGGTTTTGCAAGGTGGCCAGGCCCCTTTCCTGAGGCCCAGATGTTGGGCTCCCTACCCTGATGTTGCTTTGGGGCATGTGGCCATCTGACTGCAGACCCAGCTGAGTCCAGCCTCAGGTGGGGATGCTGTGGTGCAGTCCTTCCCCCAGTAGCCCTGGGTCAGACGCCATGTTTGAGAAGAGGAGACAGACAGAAACCTAGCTCCCGGGTCCCGGACCCTGCACCCCAGGGCCTCACGCTCCGTGTCCTGTCTCTGTAGGGTCCCCACCAGCGCAGGCCAAGCAGGAGCACCACAGCAGGGCCTCGCATCTCCAGACCAGGTCGCGCTCCCAGGAGTCGGACGCCCACGCCGTGCATCAGCGCAGGTCCCAGGTGCTGGCTGAGCACACCGTGCTGGCTGCGGAGCCTGCTGCCCGGGCCCTGGACATGCAGCCCCGGCTGAAGGGGCAGGAGAAGCAGTTCCTCAAGTCCCCCAAGGGCTCAGGGAAGCCGCCTGGGGTGCCGGGCAGCAGCAAGCCAGGGAAAGCCTTCAGCTACCACCTGCCGACTGGCCCACTGCCCCCTGCCCCTCAGGATAGCCACCATCTCCCGCAGCCCCCACCACAGCCCCCGCTGCAGCCCTACGGACACAAGCGGTACCGGCAGAAGGGGAGGGATGGCCACTCGCCACTCAAGGCCATGCACGGCCAGCCTGCTGTCGTGGAGCACGAGCTGGTGCGGGACCTGCCGCCCATGCTGGCAGGCGAGGGCTGCGCGGTGCCCGTGCTGCAGCGGCACGAACACCACCACCACCACGAACACCACCACCACCACCACCACCACCACTTCCACCCGGCCTAGTGCCGCTGCCCGCATGCCCGGTGACAGCACACCGTGGCCCGCGCACTCTGGGGCGGGTGCAGCGCGCTCGGTGTTGGCGTGAGCTGCTGTCCCCAGCCCGGCATCCGGCTCCAGGTCCCAGGTGTGGGCGTGGCGGAGGTGGACCGGGCCCATCCCTCCTGCTTTCCTCTCTTCGATGCCACGTGCAGACAAGACACTTGACCCCCTGACATTTCCAGATATAAAGCTCTTCTCTGTAACCCATAAAAACCATACATAGGTGTAGAAAAATACACTCGTATCTGCTTTCGTTTATGATCCCAAAATGAGGCCCCGAGCACTACAGGGAATCTCTGCTCGGGCGCTCTTGGTGGCCCTCACGGTGCTTCCAACCGGGGCTGCTGGGGACTGTTCCTGCTGAAGGGGGTGGCGAGGCCGGGAGAGGGCGGGGAAGCTGCAGCCTTTTGTGTCACCTGCTTGCAATGAGGTCAAGGTGGGTCTGGGGAGCAGCTGTTCCTTGGTGTGCCGTGTCTTCAGTCCCCTGCACGACGCCGGGCACAGATCAGAGTGGACGGAGGGTGGCTTCGATCACTGTCAAGAAATGCAAAGGTCAGGCCGCTGAGAGCAGAAAAGGGGGTGGGGAGGTGGGCGGGCTGGCGCACGTGGGCACCTGAGGCTGCTCCAGTCTCTGGTGCCACCAGCATCCCAGGTGGACACAGGCAGGAGCTGGTGGGGCTGAGTGAACACACGGAAGCTTGACAGGAGGCAGGAGTCTCATCCTCAGCTATGGAAGCAAAACACGGGTGGACTCATGTCTGAACAGTCCTGTTCCTCGTGGTACAGCTGCCACATTTCACCTCCGGGAAGAGTAGAAAAGGGTGCAGACCAATGGGCCTGCACTGGGTTCATGTGGTTCCACCGAGGCAGGGAACAGCCCAGGCTCTGTCTTCCGAGCCAAGCAAGTACAGCTTTCTGGCAATGTGTGAGTTTGTGCAGGTGATTTTCCGTTTTCCCTCTTGGCACTGTTTTTAAGGATACAGCAAAATAATGTCAACTGGTAATTGAGGTTTTTTCTAGGCATAATAAAAATCTATTCATTTTGCAATATGTCATACCTTATTAAAACACTTCAAAGAGTTATGGTCAGTCCACCCCGCCAGCGTGTGGCCCAGGTGCAGAGCAGGCAGCACCTGCTCTCTGGTCCTAGCGGGCACGTGAGCGTGGAGGGAGTCGTCTGTGTCCGTTTGCACACGTACAGGAGGAAGGTTAACACACGTGCAGGCGTGCACAGCTCCTTACTTATGGTATGTTTCTCTTCCACTTTACTGCTCTGAGAAAATTCAAAAACAAAACACTAAACCCAAAATTCAGTTCATAACAGAACACCAGGCAGCACTGTCCTGGGCATGTGGACGCAGTTTTATGTAGAGATGTTGGGCTCTTTGTGAATAAGACTGTCTGGACAAGCCATCGCCACATGTGACACTTTACCGTCCTCCTCAGACATCACACCCATGCTCATGACTCTTTTAAAAATCCCTCGAGATGTCTGAATGACTGTGCCTCCCCTGTGAGCTGAGGCCAATGTGCACGGGGAGAACTGAGGGCTTTGGGGTGCCTGAGGCTGGAGCTCGAACGTTTCCCAGCATCTCAGACCTGCAGACATGGAGCCTGTCCACGCCAGTGTGCCTGGCTGGCCCAGTGGCCGTAACCGTGTTCCCTTTGTGTGGCACACTCTGGGCACCACACACTAGGAAGGGCTCAGAGTCCTAGCACAGCACCCCCACACCCCTGCATCAGGATTTCTGCAGAAAAGCTCGCTGCTACGAGTCAAATGTGTCCCCATAGAGTTCACGGGTTGGCAATTTAACCCCCACTTGTGACAGGGTTAAGAGGCTGGGAAATTCAAGTTTTGCGATTCAAAGGCGGGGCCTTTGATTGTGAGGACTGTGCCCTCACGAATGCGTTGATGCGTTCACGGGGTGACGGACTCGATTCTGGTGGCTTTAGGAGAGCGCGTAAGCAGGTGAGCTGTCGCTCAACCCAGTCGTGCCATGTGACACGCCACGTGGCTGTAAAGCCACCGCCAGGAAGAAGGCCCTGACCGGATGTGTTCCCTGGACCTTGGACTTCCCAACCTCCAAACTGTAAGAAGTCAACTTCATTTCTTTACAAATGCCCAGTTTCAGGTATTTTGTTATAAGCAACAGAAATGGACTCGTGCCCCTGCACTGGGATTTCTGCAGAAGAGCTGGGCATTGCTGCTCTCTGCACCGTTCCTCGGTGTGCGTGTCCTTGTGCCTGCACCGTTGTGGAGGGGACCTTATTTATTTAGTCCCAGTGGACCTGTCAGACCCCGAGTGACGTCACAGACGGATGTACCCGTACGCCCCTCAGGTCAGGGCTCAGCTGACCAGCTGGGAAAGGAGAAACCGAGGAGGCCCGAACTTCAGCCTTGTTTGACTCTAGGCCCTGGTTCTTAAAAACAAAAACTAAGTGCAGGTGAAACACCAGCGGACACCAAGCAGAACCTGAGCATGCCTGCGGCTGCGTGAACCCTGTAAGCAGACACAAGCCCAGCCTCATTCCCCAATGCTAGCTGCAGGGCGCTGCCTCAGACGCAGGGCCCTTGGTCCAGAGAGGGACAGAGAAATGTTTGAAAAAACAGGTCTTTTATGTGCACAAAAAGTGAGCCAGTATTGACATGGACACACAGCAACGTGCCTGTCGCCAGTTGCGATGCAGTAGCCTTGACAGGCTGGGGGTTACAGCCTCACAAGTCAGGGGAGTTTGGCACCAACCTGGGAGAAGGGCCGTGCAGTGCCGCAGATGGAGGCAGAGGCAGGAGACTTGGCTCCTCGGGACACTTAGGGGCTGTGTCCAGACTGCTATTGAGGCAGCTCCTGCCCGCTGGCCCCAGCAGGAAATCAGAGGCTCTGACACCCAGTCTCCCACCGTGCCAGGTGCCAGGAAGGCCTCAGCGAAGACCTGGTGGTGATGGGGCATGACAGGAGAGATGCCCTTTGTGACAGAAAGAGATCTGTTATTTGTTTGTTGTGTGAGTGTAGATTCCGGCTGTTGGATGACCTCATACCTGCACCTATCTGTATCTCACATTCTTAGTACTTTCCAGAAAGTACGTTACCAAACAACACCACTAGTGAGTGACTGAAGGCAATCCCCAGTGACACCCGTCGTCAATAGGCAAGGTTGGGTCAAAGCAGGGGGACGCAGCCCCCTAGGGCAGAAAGGGGACCCCCGGAAAGTGCCAGACCTACAGCAACAGAGCCCAGTGGGCCAGACACCCTGCAGCCCACCCACCAGGAGGGAGGCGCCTGCCCTGCCCACGGCGGGGGTGAGTACCCACCTGTGGGGTGTGAGTCCTGAGTGGAAGCTGGGAGGCAGCAGCATCGCGCCTCGACAGAGGTGAGTTCCAGTGACTCTGGACTTCTGTGGAGACGGTGTGCAACCCCTGTGCTGTCTCTCGGCAGAAGCCACTGCTATGACCACGGCCAACCACGACGTGACTTGCTTTAGTGGCCACGTTCCCAACCCTGCTGACGCTCACTTCCAGGCACTGCTGTACGATGAGATGTTTTTAATAAGTCTCCGTTGACATTATGAGACAAAAACCTCGCTGTGCGTTCCCTTAGCTACTCCGTTTCTTCCAGGGGCGAGGGTGGCACCCCAGGCCTCTTCCTAGAGGCTAAGCGCGTCTCCGTCACTTCGTCCCGCCTTTGTGTGCTGTCCCTCTCTGCTGGTGCCACGCTGTATGGAGGCTCTGCTGGCGCTCCCCGTGGTCACGGGTTGTCTCCACACCCGTCGGGGTCCGATTGGCCGTGAAGCGCCGAGGTGGCTGGTGCAGGAGCGGCCACGGCGAGCTTCCTCTGCCAGGCCGGCTGTGCCATGCCAGCTTCAGCATTTCCTCCGAGCCTGAGCCTTCCACTGACGTGGGCCACTGCGGAGCCTTGTGCCTCCAGGCGGAGCCTCGTCCCAGGCCACTGACCCAAGTCGCCTCCAGCCTGCAGCCCAGGTTGGGGGCAGAGCTCAGAGGGACAGTGCTAAGCACTTGGTCCCACACCCTGGAGCCTGACCAGGCCTTGCACCTGGTGCCCGAGTCCAGCTGGCTGCCTCCTAGGAGCCTGTCCTCCCTGGTGGTCACAGGCAGTCCTTGAGTCCCCACCCCACACCCCCCATGCCCTGCTGGCCTCTCCTCCAAATGCCCGGAGTCCCCAACCATCTCTCCTCACCTCCCAGCTGGCTCCCGCCACCCACACCAGAGGCAGAACTTCCTGCTGCTCCAAGAATAAGCGGCACGTCCCAACCAGGTGCTGCCCCCGCCCTCAGCGAGTGCCCCTCACAGGTGCCACCTCCACGCTCAGGGCCCAGCTGCGGGCCCTCCATGCACGGTCCTCAGTGCCTGGAAGGGCCACTCCGCTCCGACGCTCTCCTCTCAGGCAGCACAGCCTTGGTCGCCTGATCACGGCTCCCTCCACACTCACAGGGCCGTGGACACTGTCACACCCCACCAGCTGGCCTATCTGTGCTGCAGGTGGACGGGGTCACAGCGGACGGCTGCCATGAAAGACCTTCAGTCCAGGGACAGTGTCAGGGGCACAATCACCACAGGGGCCGGGATCCCTCCAAGTTGGGGGCTTCTGGCGGGACCGACTGCCCCTTCCTCCTGAGTTTTTCTCGTGTGTTCCCTGGAGCACACGCACGTGTGTGCGGTAGGGATGGGAGCGTGGAGAGACGTCTGTGGTTTTATGAGTTTGGGAAACAGCACCTTGAGGCTCTTCCTCTCAGCGTGAGCGGCGCTCACTGAACCGCGTCTAACAGGCGGTTAACACACTCGGTTAACACACACGGTTAACACACTCACACACTGAGCGTGAAGGCGCGAGGCCTCTGTGCTGGGCCTGACCACAACGCCTGCACTTGCTCGGCCACAGAACACCATGGTGGGTGCCCGCGGGTGTGTGGCCAAGCCCTTCCCTCCAGTCTCTGTCTGCTTTTCTCACGGGGCCAACAAGCTCTGCCCACCTGGGTCCCCCTGTGTGAAGGAGTGGACACCCAGGGCACAGCCGGCACTGACCCACCAGGGGACCGAGGACAGGTCTGCTCTCACGGTCACTCTCCAACAGCGCAAGAGCCAGAGCCCGTCCCATGTCCACCGCATGCAAGGCACCACCCAGTGATCGGCTGCAGCGCACAGCTGTGTCCCAGCGTGCTCAAGACTTGTGCAGGCTTCCCCACGACCAACTTCAGGGCACCCTCCACCCTGTCCCACCTGCTAACCACCGGTCCGCCTCCACCGACTTGCCTGTTCTGGACATTTCACATAAATGGAATCCTGCGGTAAGAGACTGCAATAAGGCTGATTTCACAGAGCGCTGTTTCAAGTCCGTCCCTGCTGCGGCACGTGTCAGAGCCTCCTTAAGACTGAAGAGCCGTCCACTGCACGGCTGTGCACACCCGCTCTGCACTCTAACTAGAGGACGGACACTTGGGGGTTCCCACATTGTGGCCACTGTGAGCGGCACTATGGACACATGTGTACACGTCTCTGTGGCCAGGTCTCTCCTGGCTGCACACCTGGGCATGGGATTGCTGGGCTGCTGTCCCCAGCATGGCCGCACCAGGCTGTGTCCCACCCGCACTGCTCTGGATCCGGCTCTGAGTCCTCATGCCTGCTGTTCCCCGTGCTTCTGGCTGCAGCCATGCAGCAGGGTGAAGGGGCATCGCATGGTGGGTCTGCACCTTAGAATACGCTGTCCTCTCTCCTGAATTTCTGGTGCTTCCAACCTTGCACAAATCACAGACTGTGTCGCCTCAAACAGCAACGTCAAGTGTGCAGCCACCGTGCTGCAAAGCTGAACACAGAGGCACAGGACAGTTCTCCTTCAATCATGTGAGTGACTTTTAACTTCTCTTGGCCAATTCTCATGATAATTCTTTAGCCATCTGTTTGGTTTGGCTGATCAGACCCGAAATAAACACCACCAAGAGACAGGAGGGACAGGTGCATTTTCTCCAACTGTTTAATTTTAATGCTGAATGAGACATACAAGATTCTTCAAAATACTCAGATTTTATGGGATTTCATTCTTCTACTAACAAAATCACACCAACATAGGAATCTACAAAAGTGAAATCAGTGTTAAATGGCTGTAGCTACAGCGACGCAGGGAGGCTGGTGCTCACACAGTGGGGCAGGCCTGGGCAGGGCCTGCACACAGCAGACCCGCAGCATCCTGCACGACCTGGGAGAAGTGTCCCATTACACGGGGGTATCTTCCAGCCGCTGACCGACATACCACTTATGCCTCTAGGCTGCTCTGCTCCAGATGCAAGGCCTCGGAGGTCTCCTGGCCCTGCCCGGACATGGGAGTGACTTTTGCTGCGGAACTCAGCACCTACCAAGATGGGCAGAAAATACAGAAACCTCTGAGCCCCACTGTGCTTCTGGGACACGCTCTGGCCAGTGGTCACCACAGCAAGCTGGCCCTCTGTGCTGCCCGACAGCTCCTCAGAAATGCCTAGAAGCACAAGCTTAGCGTCTGTTCTCATCTGAACTGAGCGGACGCAGGAGATTCTCTTGCAAATCCATGGAGACCAGAGCCGGCCATGGGCCTGACATGTGCGGCCTCTTGCATAGAGCAATCTCTCTATAGGCAACTTAACTACCATGCAAACTCCCCCAGGGTGTTTAAATAAATAAATAAGCCATACAGAAGGTGAGGCACAAGTCACAGCCATAACCTGCGAACATGGTCACAGCCTATAAAACAGAAGGAGCCTATAAAACATGGCAAAGTGCCAATGTGACCTCAATGCAAGGCACACGCCCGTGGCAGAGGACACACGGGACCCGGACAGACACACTCGGTGCCCGCGGCTGAGGCTACATTTCCCTCCCTGGAGTGTGAGGGGTAGGCACGGCATCTGCACGTGGCACCCTGGGCTCCGGCACATTCAGCAATCCGGGATACCCTGTCAGTGCTTATGAAAAGTGACTGGTTTTCAGTGGCAAAAGGAGCTGCAGACACAGCCTGGGCCTGGCAGAGCCCCTCTGGGCAGCTTCGCAGAGTGTAAACCTAGACTAGCACATGACCGCCATGTACCCACACGGCCACCTGACATGATCCGCCCGTATTCCCCAAATCCTGGGCTTCCTTTCCGGAAGGCCGCAGCCCGTGCCTCTGCTTATGAAGCGTGGGTCAATCGACGGGCCAGACGGCCCCACGCAGGCAGGCGCGCCGACCTCAGGCGTGCACAGAGTCCTTCCCCTCACAGCGTCAATTTACAGAAACAAAGACACTCAAAGGAACAACGACAGACTGGGAGGCTGTCCGAGGAACCCGCAGGGAACCTGGAGCCACAGGCTGACGCTTCAGCCATGCAGCTTCAGTACCCACGTGCTCCCGTGAACGTTCTGGAAGGGTAGAAATGAACGTGACCGCTGCAGACCAGGCAGGTCCAGCCGAGGAGAAGCAATTCTAGAATCTGAAGGCTGAAGGTGTGGCCACTGCTCCTGGTCACCCGGGGCAGCAGCCTCTCCCCCGGCCACGAGGAAACCGTTCCAGCCCCACGCTGGCTCTCTGCTGTGGTGTGGGGCCATCTGGATGCCTTCAGTCGGGAGAGGACAGCCCCAGGTGACAGGCTGGGAAGCGCTGAGCGGCAGGCGCGTCTGTGTCCGTCCCCTCCAGTCCGAGCCTGGCCACAGGCTGCCGGCAGCGTCCGCGCCCGTCCCAGTGCCTGCCGATGCTGTGAGCTTTAGGAGTAGATGGTGATCACCTCCCGGCCGCTGCCCCTGACCAGGAGGACTCTGTTCAGCCCCTCGGTCAAGACCTCGAGAAACTCCATGTCTGGGGTTGACAGAGTTAAGGCCACAGCTGACCTCCCCTGGGCACATGCTGCTGAAATCGTGAGGGGAGTGAGGTTTTCCTCACAACATGGTCCTCTCAGCTAAGACTCAGTCTGAGGAAAAGAAAGCCAGACCCGGGGTTGCGGGGCTGTGCCCAGGAAAGAGGCGCGGGCACCTCGTGGGGCCCAGGATGAGCAGAGACCACGACAGCCTCCAGCCACCTTCCGGGAAACCCGAGAGCCCTCCGTCACCCACCAGCTGCAGCACAGCCCAACGAGAGGGTGTCCGCACGTCAGCCCGGCTCTGCATCCTGAGCAGACATTGGGCAAGACACCCAAATGAGCCAGAGTCCCTGTCACCAACGAAACGCAAACTCCTAACGCCTGTGGCCAATCTGAACCTCACGACCCCAGAGCCTGGCTTCTCACTCCTCGTGGAGACCTGACCTCCCTCTACCAGGACGGCAGGTGGGGCTGAACCTCAGAGCCCCAGGACGCCCAGCCACCGCTGGGGGTGCAGGCTGGGGAGGACGCCCACAACAGGGCGTGCGCACACATTTGGGGGCTGAGAGCCCTGCTCAGGGGAGGAGGTCCCATGTGGGGACAGGGTCTCTGTGAGCAGAATGTGCTACAGGAGGGGCTGGGGCCGCGAAGGGCTCAGGGCACAACCTGTCAGCAGCGCCCAGGACCCAGGAGTGCGCCAGGCCATGGTCCACCCACCTGCCCCATCCTCAAGGTCAAATACAGGCAGGTTCCCCCACGGGCCACAGGAGAGCACCCAGGACCACAGCCAGCGAGGCGCGAGCTCGGGCCCCATGCTGGGCACAGGCACGTTGTCCCACAGCTGCGGCTGGTGTCCGGGAGGCCTCGCCTCTGCGGCTGGCAGGCTCCAGGGTCACACTGTCCCCGCTGGGTTTTTGGGCTCCTTTACCTCACTCATCCTCTCACTTCCTGGGGCACCCTGTGTTTTTCTTAAGGGCCATCAGAACACAGAACGCCACGCAGTCTCTCTCCTCACGTCCACGTGTCTGCCTACGCCACCCCCTGCAGTTTTCCCAGCACTGACACCTCAAAAGTAATCAAGGATGGTTCACCTGCAACAGGTGAACGGGCAGGGCTTTCCCGGCAGCCCAGTGGCTCACATCCAGTGTCGTTTCTCTAAAAACACTGAGAAGGGACCCTACTCCAGCCCCCTCCACAGTCGGCTCCAGGATTCATCCCAACCATCCGCTGACTTGGGACCCAGTGGACAGCAGGAGCCGGGGGCCACTCCTCCAACTCTGAGCCCCGTTTTCTCATGGCCCTTGTGTGCGGCGCAGAGACAGTGGGATTGGGCCATGGAGGTCTGGTGTGGGGCCCCACTGCACTGTTTCCAGCTCCCAGCCTCCCTCTGAGCAAGAGAGGAACCGAGAAACGGCGCACACGGCCCCCGCAGGCAGCGACCCAGGAAAGGATACAGTTCTCATCTCCTTGGCGGTTCTTGGGGGGCCCTGGCATGTTCAGCAGGACCAGCTGGGCATCCTGGGACTTGCTGAGGACAACGCCATTGAGCTTCACGGCCGTGTGCATCCTCCTGACGTTGGACTGGTCCCTGTGGGAGGCGGCGGGCGGCAGTCAGAGGGCATGTCCGGCAACCCACGGCACGTGCCCGCTGCGCTCAGCCTTGCTAGGAAGGGCTGCGTGAGAACAGTCAGGAGTCAGGTGACCAGGACCCCTGAAGACCTCAGGCTGCGATTCCAGGCCAGAACCACTGGATGACAGGCCAGGGGCCACTTATTTAGCACACGTTTTAGAACACAGCACGACTGAAACTGCCAAGCTTCTACCAGCTACAAAGTAACAGTAGATAAATAGGAAAACACTCGCAAACTGCAGCTACATCTGCACCGAGCAGCTGTTCGTGCAAGCACAAGCGCAGGCGGAGACGGAGATGCCCCTGGGCCCTGGCCTTCGAAGCTCAGAAGCGTGTCCACTGAAATCCCTGGGGCTGCTCCTGAACCCTGAGTAGCAAACCTGCCAGCTCAAGCGCCCACAGCACCGTCTTGGAGGATCCCGAAACAGGCTTCGGTCTGAGGAAGAGATGGATGCACGGGAGGGAAAAGCCAGACCCCTCCAGCTGGCGCGTGTGGCCACCGCAGGCCTAACACTCTCAGGTCCTATAACAGGCTGGGGCCTCCACCCAGAACTTGGCTTGAGGCGCAGGTGTGCTCACAGCAGCCTGTCAGGGTCCCTCCCACCCTCGCCAAAGGCTGAAGGACAGGGGCTTCCAGCCCTTGGCGACCTGGACCCTGAGTCTCTGTCCTCGCTGACCACACGGTTCTCTGCGTTCCCTGAGGCAGGCAGAGCGTGCTCTCCGACCGTGGCCAGGCTGCTTCTCAGAGTGCTCTGCCAGCCCCCAAGGGAGGGTCCCACCCGAGTAAGTTGGGGATGCTTCAGATTGTGCCCGCTGGCACACAGAGGCGCTCAGGCACTGTGGGCTGGAGGCCTGCCCTCCTTGCCCACCCCACAGCCCCCTCTCCAGGGAGACTTGAAACCATGAGCAGAACTAGTCCCAGAGGCCAGGTTGTGCTCCCTGCCCTAAAGCACGTCACCTCTGCCCGCGCTGGGAAACGCAGCACATTTGCTAACTCTCAGGGCCCACGAAGGAGACCACGGCGGCCGCAGCAAATGCAGCCCCAGGCGGGTTTGACGGCAGCTCTTCTGAGGGGATGGGCAGACAAACGAGCCACCACATTCGGGGTCAGGATGTCCCAGGCTCAAACCCTTTGATCAACTCGACCCTTCAGCCAAATAAATCAGATCATAACCACCAATTACCAGGAGAAAACAGGGACACAGACCTTTTATCTTTTCTCTCCAACTCAGCCTGATAAATTACAGATGAGGTCTCTCTCCATAGCACAATTGAGGATCACGAATCACAAATTATTATCACGAACCATCAATTCATTGCTTGGACAGACCACAATTACTTGTGTGCTGGGGGACAAACGGCAATTCCAGAAATGTGTGTGTGTGACATTAAAGGATCTGTCGGGGTTAAGAGATAGCTTGGAAGTCACATACAATTTTAAAAATCAGAGGTTTGGGTCTAGAAAGGTTTGGGCTCTAGGACGACACATCCCCATGGAGGCCAGAGATGGAGGCCAGAGAGGCATGGGCAGGGTCAGGAGTGTGCCCGCGTTTCTAGAAAGCTAATGGAAACCTGAGTCTCCACCCAGCACCTGGCCAGCAATGGACAAAGCAAGGAAAGTGCACCGTAACTACGGCTCTATCTGGAGAAGAG